TTCCTTCCTTCCTTCCTTCCTTCCTTCCTTCCTTCCTTCCTTCCTTCTTTCTTTCTTTCTTTCTTTCTTTCCTTCTTTCTCTCTTTCTTTCTCTCTTTCTTTCTTTCTTTTTTAGAGACAGGGTCTTGCTATGTTGCCCAAGCCAGAGTGTAGTGGCTAGTCACAGGTGCAAGTTCCTGGCCTCAGGCAGTCCTCCCACTTTAGCCTCTCAACAGCTGAGACTCCAGGCATACGCCACCACACCAGCTTCTAGATACTCATATGAAAAAATCAGAAGGTGTTGTGTTTATATGCTTTTAACAATCAGTTCCAAATTCTCTGCAACTGCTTGTATAAGTTTTAAACATATTCAAAATTTCTGATTCCAGGTTAAGTGTGAAGATGTGAAAGTTTTTATAGTGATGCATGTTTTTTCAATGAAAAAAATCACAGAGGTGTTTAAATCGCCATATGTTTCAAAATGTCCATCTCTGTAACCTGAGTTTGTTTCCAAAAGTAGTTGCTTTGTCATTCATTATCATAATATGAATTCTTCACTGAAGGAACATATTAAATTTTTAAAAAAACTTGAAATGCAGCATCCTGTGATAGCAATCTTTTTAAGCCGATCACACATTTTATGAGGATTAAGTTACACCTAGATAACCTGTAAATCCATTTAATCTAACACATGCAAAATGCAAGAAAACTGTAATATTTTGGAAGTTAATATACGAGTGTGAGCCCCACAATGATTCCTCCAAAGTGTGCAAGTTCCATTCTTCCCTCAGGTCACTCCTGAACCATGTGGGACCAGTGGACTGGATCCAACGACCTCATAAACCCTCAGTACTATGGCACACCAAATATTAGTACAGCTTAGTATCCTTTGGTGTAATTATTTTTAAAAATATACAAATGGAACTTTGGACATTTTTTCCCACACACCAATGGATCATCCTGCATATTAAAATGTAGAGGCCATCAATCTTAAAAAAACAAAAAAAAGAGGTTAACGTTTTAAAAAAAAAACTGAATTCAGCAGTGATAATTATACTGGGCACTCAGAAAATATTTATGGAAGGAAAGGAGGCAAAGAGGAAAGAAAAGTAAAAAGAAATTACAGCAGATAAAAAGTTCTAAAAGTTCATATAGTCTGAGGAACAAAGTCTTGATTGTAAAAATCTCATTTATGAAGAGAGGTTCTTTTAAATTAAAAAATAAAATTTTACTACTATTTAAAAATCCAGTATTTAGAGTAGACTAAGCAATTAGGTGGTGAGACCTAGGGTGGTGAGTCTAGGATCAAGGCGAACACTTACCTTTACTTATGCTCTAAAACCAGGTATTTAGACATAAGCAAAGGAATTTACAGTGAAACTAAAGGCCCCTGACAGAAAAAGGGCAAGTATCTACATCATTTAAATGTTAGGTGAAATAAGCACAGAAGAATTTTTTATTTCATTTTAATGTTATTATAAAACTATAATAGAGTAACTATGTATGATTATAACCATATAAATCTCATAGAATTTAAAAAGGCTGAGAAGTTAGAAAACACTTGAAATATAAATATATTCCAATTTGGTAAATAGCTATTATAAAATCACTTGAATGAAAAGATGAAAACCAAGGCATACAGTATTCATAGATGACTAAGTGCACTGTTTACCACCACAAGTATTCAGAACAAAAGGTAGAAGTACTGACTTCACGACCTCAATATATTCATGAAGAAGTTCAAAGCATTTATGGCTTACGGGAGCTATGAAAACTAGGATTTATTTAATAGGTCATACAATGAAAATAATATGAAATAACTTCCTACCTTTGTGATAAGAATTCGGTATCTATCCAGCATTGCCTGGTTGTCATGGCAGCCTGCCAGTAACTGCCATACCTCTGCCCTCAATGCTTCGGGGACACCACTCTTCACCAGAGTAGATAGCCCTTTTGGTCGTGCACCAAGGTTATTGTGCCTGAGAAGACAAGAAAATAATCCATTCACACTCCCTTTACAACTCCTGAACTGCTGCTGTTGCTATGAAAAATATACTAGTTTATATAAAAGTGTAAGCTTGGCTCAAGAGAAAACTGTTTGTGGCGGGGCATTAAACAATAGTACTGCTTAAGCTCAGTTATGTCTTCAACTTTTTTTCTTGATCTCATCTTCTTTATTGGTGAACCAGGTAATTCTACCTCCAGGAAAAGCTTTTTCTTCCTCTCATTTACTTTTAAAAATCATCCTATGGACTTATTCATAATAATGAATGTTTTAGTTATATATTGCTAGGCAACATTCCAAGGCATAAAATGAACCATCTGAATCTCCTGAAACGAACGTACAGCAAGCTGGTCAATGATGTGTGGCAGGGAATAGGGTTCAGGAAATGATGTTGAAAATGGATCACAGGCCTATCACACCTTGACTATACCCACTTCTCTGAGGCCAAGCTGAGCTGGGCCAAGTGCCAAAGACAGGCTCCACAGTATAGGAGACATAAGGCATACATATTACAGTCAAAGTTTTATGTGGCGGCCACATCCTGACTCCAAGGTCCTCCAGGAAGCCCTGTCTCTTGATGACCTAACTCGGAATTCTTTGTTCCAGGATAAACTTAGATATCAATGAACTTCCAAGTTAAAACGACCTAAGATAGGTTTTCTAGTAAGAAGAGTTCATTATTGTTTACATGTCTGAATTTGTCTCCCTGACTTGTTACAACAGCAAGTGCTCACTAAAGGAAGGACCTAGCCCTTTCCTACAATCACCAGAACCTACACAACTCCAACTTGCTGGGGAAGCAACATATATTTATCGGGCTTTACCACATCCCAAAGGTATGCGGCGTCAGAACAAAGGCAAAGATCTCTCCTCCTAAAATCAATGATCACAACATAGTAAATATGCTACTATGCACATCTGACCAAGAAACTGAATTGCATATCTCAATATTGTGAATGTAATTTCATCTGTCATCTTTTTCCAGGTGCCTAGCTTGAATCTGGAACTATATTCTATGCCTTTTTGCTCAGACTTTACTTTTATTTGCTGCTCACTTTTTATCTCTTAGAGCTGACTCTGGTGCAACCACTGGGACTCCAAACCTTGACAATGTACTCTGGTTTGATCTAACACCCTAGGCTCTGGTTTCAAGTTTTGAGCCTCAAAAGTCATAAAAGCCACATGTCTATTTTCTAAAAGTGGCTTCCCAGCTACTTCACTAGATTATACACACTGTTCCACCTCTAGCTCAAACCCCAGTATTGGCATACCTTCCACTGAAAATATATTCCTTGCTTTCCCCATACTGTCATAATTGGGCTATCTCAGAAAAAAACTAAAACTTCCACAACTGAAACAAGTTCAAGTAAACTCATCCCACTAATAATGTTAGTAAACCATCAGATTTAATGGTTTATTTTAGCCTTTTCTAGCTAAGCTTTTGTATTGTTGGGTTAGAGAAACTAAGCTGATAATACTGATGGGCTTGAAGCAAAAATAAACTAGAGACAGGTAGAGCTGATATGATTTAACACCTTAAAATAACAGCTATGGTGCCAAGTGACAAAAGTAAGTTTCAAATTAGTAAATAGGTGTTAGTTTAAATACACCTACATACCCACTATTTTGAAACCTGCTTTTACACACGCCTAGAAAAATAATAGGGAAGAACATACTCCAAAATATCTATGTAATAGAATTAAGAGGGAAAGTAGCCCTTTTATTTTCCTATGCTGTCTGAAATATTTATAATGATTTTAAATTCTTTTATAATCATTAAACACAAAAAGTCATTTCAATTCTTTAAACTTCTCTCATGGCTTTAAATTAAAACACAATTTCAGTTAATTTGGAAAAACACTATAGATAATTGTGTTTCACAAAATATATCAAGTAGAGGAAGAGTATTAATTATTCTTCAGAAGACTTCCACCTGAATAAACTATTTGACAAAGAATATTATGCCACAAGAGAGCCAGGATTAGTTATAAAAGGATCTTTTTGTAATTTAATGTTTGGCTCTGATTATACTTTTGAATAGGAAAAACATACGGGTTAAGGGTATTAGTATAGAAAATTGGGTTAATTAAAAGCAATGATGTACAAAAAGCAAAGTTCATTCCCTCTAAAATTAAATGCAAAATACTTTGAATTATGAGTCCAATAATTTATAATATCATGTAAGGGAAATCCAAAGTAGTTAAATATAGTATATGTCACATGTTATATAGAGATCAGCAAGACATCACTGTGTCTCTACAGCTATTGAAACTCCAATAAATTTAATTAATTAAAACTCCATGTCAAAGAATCCTTTCTTGGCTGGGCACAGTGGCTCACATCCATAATCCCAGCACTTCGGGAGGTCGAAGTAGGCAGGATCGTTTGAGCCCAGAAGTTCAGACCAGTTCCAGACTGGGCAACATGGCGAAACTCCATCTCTACAAAAAAAAAAAAAAAAAAAAAAAAAAAAAAAACACACAAAAAACTTAGCTGGACATGGTGGCATGTGCCTGTAGTTCCAGCTACTTGGGAGGCTGAGGTGGGAGAATCACCTGAGCCTCAGAGGTTGAGACCAAATGAGCTAAGATCGCACCAGCTAGGGCATCGGAGTGAGACCCTGTCTCAAAATTTAAAAATTAAGAACATTGAAAAAAATCATTTCTTCAATGGCACGCATAATTCTCCATCATACTTTTACCCTGTGCAACAAATTTCAAGAATTGGTATAGAAGCACTATCTCTATTTCTTACCCTCCAATTCCTTCCTCAATTCAGTTCAACATGGCTTCTGCATCTCTCCTTGAAAAGTTTTCACTTAAATGATCTATGACTTCTCTCCATGCTCCACTGGATTCAAGACATATTTTCAGTCCTTTCACTGTTGACCAATCTGTTTCCCTTGGCTTCAGTGACACAGCACTACCTCTTTATCCACCTTCACAAACTCCACTGTTGATTGCTTCTCCTCTGTTAACCTCTTAAGTGCTTCAAGTTCTCTCTCTTTACTCTTGCCCTTTTCTTTCATTCTCTTGTCTGTAGGCATTATCACCTATAAACATGTATCCCAAGTTCCAGAAGCTCAAAGGTACCTCAAAATCAGTATGCCCAAGTCTGAACTCAGTTTCTTCTCCCTAAACCTGGTCATTTTCCAGGGTATTCCACCTCAGAAACTGTTACCACAATCCATCCTAACTGGAAACCCAGGAGTTATTTTTGCCCCATCATCTATTACTAATCCATCACCAAGTCTAATATATCTTATTTTCTCAACCTCTACAAAGTTCATGCACTTCTATCTCAACTGCAACCAACTTTATCCTCCCTAAACCTCTGCAATAGCATCCTAACATTCACTGGACCTACTACAACATATTTCCAATATTGTAGGCAAAATGAAAATAACAAGCAGCTTGATTAAATATTCAGTTGGCCCAGATTGTTTTGTATAATAATTTAACTGTAATATTTTATATAATGATATATAATAATAATTTAACTATAATATTTTAAAGTTTCAGTATCTCTTCCTACACATGCATACACACATACATACACATACTCCTTAAGATTAATAGTCAACAGTTCCCAATGAATACTTTATCATAATATAATCCAACTCCATTGATTCAGTTTCTAGCTGACCCTTAGCCACTTGTTTGGCCAGGCAAATGAAAATGTCTTTTCTCCTCTCTTAACAATTGAAGCACTATTTATCTTTAGAGACTAACATTTAAAAAGAACTGAGTCACTCATAACACTGCTTAACAGCCTTATTTTACTGGTTATCCCAAGTAACAGTACAGCAATTATACTGCATATAGCACCCTATCACTTAAGAGGCACTAATAAATATTAAGCCAGATGCTGCTAGTATATATCTATGACCAGAGAAGATCCAAATAAATAAAACAGAAATTTATAAAAATAATCATTGCTTTCAATATTTCTGATTAAAATGTAACTACACATTGCCATTGCTTTAATACATTAACTGTAGCTATCAGGAACTTGAAAATAGGCAACTGGTTATGATACCAGCTGAACTCTACCCTAGAAACAAGATGGATACCTAATACAATTATTTTTAAAGTAACACATAAATCAAATATCTATTAATCATACAGTAATTGGCTAGGTTTTAATGCATGAATAGAAACTCCACAAGGGCAAGAATCTTTGTCTTCTTTACTTATATATCTTAAGCACCTAGAAGCAGTGCCCTGCATATAAAAGGCATTTAATACATTTTTGGTAAGTGAATAAATATAATTATGAAATGAAATTAATATTTCAATTACAAAAGCTAAACAAAAAAGAATGCTTTTTTAGAAGCAAACATTCTCACTGAATTTAATAGGATGAAAAAAATGCCATGGACTCATCTAGTGGATTTCCTTTGCTTTCAAAGAGGATTTTCTTGAAACTACTTAGGCATGTAAGAACTCTACTTTTAAAGGTGTCTACTGGGGGATAAAATTTCAAAGGGAAAGAGTTATTTCTAACAAAAACAGCAGAAAAAGCAAGAGATGAGGGGGATAAAAGTCATTGAATATGACCACTGAAAAGTCACCAATGGAATTAGAGAAATTTTGATAGGAGGTGGAAGTAGGTGGCTATTAGATACAAGAATATGACACCAGCAGCATGACCCATTTGAAAAAATTCTCTCCAGAAAAGGAAAGAACTACAACTGAAATTAAAAGATGAGGTGGCATCAAGAAAGGTCGGAGATTTCTCCATCCCACAATAATGAGAAGAACTACATACGGAGAAGTTATACGACCTACATTAAGAAATGTTTCAAGAAAAAGGATAGATTAAAGGTCATTATGAAGATGAAAAGCATACAGATTCTGAATACATTTTCCCACTCTGATGATAAGTAATTAAGAGCCATGAAAAATACAATTAAAATGCCTATTAAATAAGTATCAATTTTATCTTATTCAATAAAAGAGAATGACAGATTTG